ATCGACTGCATCTATATGCTTTGGTCCTGGATTTGTAAGGAATTCAGCCACTTTGGAGGTTGCTTTTGCAGCATCTACCCGGGTAATGGTGGTGGCATACTGCGCAGATCCAACCTTGGCCTGGAAACCATGAATCTGTTGCGGTGATGCCACCCCATCATAGGGTACTAGAGGCTCAATGCTCAGTGGGGACCCTATTTTTCTCTCTGTGACGAGATTGTATTTGTGTGCCATGCTCTCGATGTAGCTATCTTGGCATAACCAGAGCTTCTTCTGCTCTCTATCACGTATAATACGTATATTCAAGAACCAGCTTGCATCCAGTTCTCGAAGCTCCCATTGCTTCTTTAGATTTTGATCTAGTAAAGCGGCTTCTTTAGCCTGTTTGGGGTGATTGACGATGATGATATCGTCCACGTAGAAAAAGACAATAATGCCTTTGGTTGTAAAGATGCATGGATCTTCTTCCACTGGGGTAAGGCCTAGTTTTACTAGCACCTTTGTAGCTTCTTGCTGCCAAAGCCTTGGTGACATGCGCAATCCGTAGAGGGCTCTATGCAGGAGCCAGCACTGATTTAGTGCTTCGAAGCCTGGTGGACACTTGGTATAAACCTCGCTTTCTAGCATTGAATTCAGGAATGCGGTAACCACATCTCTCTGAATCATATCTAGATCAAAGGCGGCAACTAGTGCGAATACTGCTCTCGCTGTTTTGACAGCTAGTGTAGCAGCTCTCTTTTCTTCAGTTGACATCCACTGTAGATCTCCTCTCACGCAGATTCTTGCTTTGAACTTCTCGAGCATACCATCTGCATCAAATTTGTATGTAAATACCCACTTCAATGGCAAGATCTGGGTGCTCTTTTTGTTCGGTAATGCAACCTGAGAGAAGGTCTCTTTAGCCTTTAAGGTCTCAATTTCAAACTCCGCAGCTGCCTTCAATTGCGTGGCAAAGGGATGGATTTTTAGCCGCTTCCAGTTCTCTGGTGGTAGAGGCATCTGATCTCTATGCAGTCTGTTTTGCATATTGAGCTTCTTCGTAATACCTGTTGTAAAGGCATATAGAAGGCTTGGTGGCTCGGCTAGCTGTTTCTCGTCTAGCGATAGATATACAGTGTAGTCTGGATCTGCCTTTGGCTTCCGTATTCTGGGGCCTGAGATGATGTTAGATTCATCAATTGACGCAGAGATCTCTCTAGTAGGCCGATCTTCTGGCTCTGGAGTAGGCGTATACTGCATCTCTTGTTGCAATTGACGCTCTATCTCTGCTTCATCTTCATCATATTGATCTCCCTCTCCCCCTTCAGCTTCGATCGACTGTATGACATTGATCGGATCTGGCGAAGATAGCGAGGTAGGAGATCTCTCATGTGGCGTACTCTCAATCGTAGCAATCGACGATAGTGCTCTTTGTGGTGAGGCTCTCTGTGGTGACATAGGGAAGCTCCCAGGGATCTGTTCTTGATCCCTTACCTCTATCATTGAGATATGTTCTACCACTGAAGCAGGGCCTGCCATTGAAGCCGGTGTTAAAGGTAAAACAGGTGTTTCCTTTAAAGGGGGGACCCTTGGTGTCTCCTCCCTACTATCTAGAGTTTGAGCTTGCTCCACAACTCTAGATTCCTGGATTTCTTCATTTACCGCCTCTGGTGCAGTACCTTGTTCTCGGTTTTCGACGTCATCATTGAGAGTTATGCGAGCAATTGACATCGGCATACGCATCTCTATGCTCAATTCTGACTGCGCTTCTTCCATTGAGAGCACTTGGGGCCAGTTCTTAGCGCTTAGTCCATTTGTCATAGTACTAATTGCATCTTCTTCTTGCGGTAAAGGCTTCGTTTTAGAGTACTGTCTCGATTCATCGAATACAGCATCTCTTACAACTTCAACTCTGCCTATGCCTGCTCGCCCTTTGTATGGAAACCAGATCTTGTATAGGCTCTTTGAAACATAGCCTACAAGATAGCCGATCTCTGCTCTCGGAGCCATCTTGTTAGATTGTACTCTCTTCAGAAGCCTTGAGTACGTTAAGCACCCATATAGCCTCATATTCGACAGGTTGACAATTTGATCTTTTAAGCCATCTGGAGCCGCATAGCGCATCAATTCCTTCCATGGTATGATCCACTTACCATCCATCTTTGTAGGGGTACGATTCATCATATATGCAGATGCATACATCGTCTCTGGCCATAGATTGTGGGGTAGGTTCGTACCATTGAGCAATGCTCTGCCGTTCCTTACTATCATGCCTCCAGATCTCTCTGCTGGTCCATTCATCTCTGGCAAGCCAGGTGGTGCATGCTCAATGGTACACCCTTCGTCTTCAATCATAGATTCAACCTCATTGCCGGCGCTTCTCTCATTATCATAATGAAATACCCTGATCTCGATTTTCAACCAGTTTCGGATCAATACTAAGAATTTACGAACTGCCATCTGACACTCGCTCTTCTTTATATAGGTAAATACGAAGTGACACCTTATTCCATCGAGATAGAAGTGCGTCATCCATATATGACCGTTGTAGGCAGGCTGGTTTTGTACTAGATCGAAGTGTACTCTCCCTAATATACCATATACCTGGCCTATCTTCCGGCGAGAGATTTGCCTAGGTGCATCTGCCAATTGACAAGCTTCACATACCTGCATTTCTTTGCCTGGGTTGCTTGCAATAGTGATTCCTTCAGTCATCTCTGCCAGTTTGACAATTCGCGCCTTGCCAATGTGGCCTAATCGACGATGCCAGAGCTCAATTGAAGCCTCAGATTTTGGCTCCTGATTGGATTTCTTAGTGGCAAACGTCATTTCAGGCTTCAAATCTGATGCCTTTTGGGTTATAAAACCCCTTGTCTGGGTGAGCCATGATAGCTTCTGATCGTGGTAGATCTTATAGATCTGACGATGGCCATCAATTGTCTCAATGCAGTTTGCTCTGAGATTCATTAATAGGCCCCCCTTCATCATCAATCCATGAGATATCAGATTACTATGGAAGTTTGGCGAGTACCTAGTTTGAAATAGGTTCATCTTAACGGCGCTTCCAGTGGTAGGGTTTACACCATAGATGACCACAGTGCCTATACCGGCCACCTTCGTCTCTGTATCTCCCACTTTGACGTTGCTCTGTACGCTTTCAAAGGTGCTAAACAAGCTCCGATTGTTGCATACGTGGATTTGAGCACCTGTATCAACTACCCATCTGTCTTCTGTAGGTGTAGTTGTGGCTTCAAAATCCTTGATTTTTGTTGACATAACGGTGTCAATTTTGACTGCGTTGGTTGTCAAGAAGCCAAAGGCTTCATCGTCGAGGGTTGTATTCGCTTGCTCTTTAGCAAGGGTCCCCCTTGGCCTTCTGCATATGCAGCTCGCTTCTTGTCGACAATTGCCTTCCATCTAGGATTAGCCTTCATGGCCTTCTCCCACTTCTGTTTCAATGCCGGTGAGGGCTGGTAATTAGCAGGCCTTCTATCTTCATAGATTTCCCAGCAGGCCCAAGGCATGTGAACTCTCGATTTTACCCTGCCACATGGACATAGCCTTCTTTCTAGGCCATCATTCCTTGCCTCTATAGGCTTTGCTTCTTCATTGCCTTGCCATGTCGAGAAAGCAGCCTTTGAGATGCCTCTTTGCGCAGCCGGCCTGCCATGGGTAATCTTCCAGTGGGCTTTGTACCGAGTCATGATTTCGAAGAAAGGGATGTCCTGATTATCCTGTACTCTGAGAGCCCATGTTTCATAGAATCCAGGCGACATTATAGAGATTGCTTCAAGGAATTGATTCGTGGCATCCTCTGCTTCTGGCATCCTTGCCTTCTTACACGATTGGTAAAGCGATTCCCAGTTTAGAAGCCATTTCTCGATGTCGGTGTTCCGATCTAGGCCTCTATCTAGGTTCCGCCACTGTTGACGGAGCTTAGTTTTGTATGTAGGATCGCTCTCTGGTGCAAATCGTTTGTGGAGATTGAGCATCAGCTCCAAAGGTGATAGTATATCAATGATAAAGGGCTGGTAGGGAGTATCAACTGACTGCCTAATTGCCACCGCCACTAGATCTAATGCCTGTAGTTTCGACTGATAGGCTCTGTTCTCTGCATCCCAATCTGCTTTTAGGGATAGCCTCACATTGAACCAGTGTTCTGGGTATTCTTTTATGGCATCTTTGACAGAGATGATCTCTTCAGGTGGTTCCAATTTAGGACGTTCTTCCTCCTTAAGAGACGGATTGCATTGATCCCATACTTTATATGCAACTGCAATTGCTTTAATATATGAGAGCCATGCATCCCATGATTCTGTATCCTTCAAAATGACGCGGGAGGAGGCCGCGGAGAGGCTTGACATAATATTCATTATTGTCGATTTTCGTCGATGAATCTGATCTTCTTCGAAGGAGATAGGGGTGCTTCGACGATTCAGGGGTTGACCGTTGTCAAAACCACTGTGAATCGGCGACAGCTAGGTAAAAGATGGTCTATATGTTGTAGACAGATCTTAATTGGAACGAAGCCGGGCTCATAACTGACAGAAATAGACGGATACGACAATGTATGGTAAATCTGACATATGTAAATTCTCTAACTAACTAAAATGACAAGATCCGCTCTTTTCCAATCTCGGCGGACATAGCTGATTAAGCAATGTATGTATTTTTGTATGGTACCGTTATCATGACGGTCCATTGATTTTCCGGTTTGTAAAGACCTGGTAATTTCAGCATGCATAAATGCATAGTACTTGACACAACATTTGTTTGAAACCTACCTAAGCTACATTATGAGCCTATGTATAAATAGCTAACTAACTAACCGCTAACCTCGGAAATCTACTGTCTACCCCCAAAAAATTATAAATATACGGAGTATAAAACCTCATGTATTCTATACCGAGAAGGCGGAGAGTGGAAGAAATTAAATCTCGCATGGTCGCTGTCCTCCTCCGTACTCCTGTACTCTCGCCAAGGTGACCTATCAATTAACTATATGCAAGGTGAATTAGACCATGTCTAAACGACCCCGAAGTCGCTCGAGATCTTCATCTCTCGATCATGACACAATATCAGTATCATCAATTGCAGTGAATACTACGACTCCTCCTCCTGAGCGCAACAAGCTCATCGACAGTGGTACCAACATTCTCCCCGAAGTGATGCATTGCTCCTTACCGCCTCACCGCGAGACGCTCTCGTTCACGTCCTACGAAGATTACGAAGTCCATTATCTTCAGTCTCATGTCAACCGCTGTTCAGAATGCAGCAAGAACTTCCCCACTGGTCATTTGCTCAACTTACACATCGAGGAGAACCATGACCCGCTAGCTGCTGCGCGGCGAGCCCGGGGGGATAAGACTGTAAGCTCTAACCCGTTTCCTATCAAATCGGTTACTAAATAAAAGCAAAAGTACGGATGTTTCATCGAAGACTGCGAGCGGAAATGCTCAACCCCACAGAAACGACGACTACATCTTATCGACAAGCACATGTTTCCCCGGGTATGAAGCCAGCTCCAAATAGCGCCCTTATGTCACTAATATTTTCTACAGAGCTACAACTTTTACATTGTCAATGATGGTATCGATGCACAAACATCTATGCTGCGACCCATGAACAGTCACAGACGACGTATCTCAACGTCATCTGCTCTGGAGGGCAGGTTGCGGCGCCGAAGCTCTGCGTCTCAATCGAACCCACCGGCAACACCAGTCCCCGAGAGGAAATCACCAAATGACATGGACATTGATGAGCTGGAAAAATCTATGTCTGCTTTGAAGTTCGTCCCTACAAGCGTCACTAGAAATCGCAACAAGGTGCCTGGTAAATAGACTTCGAGATAAACGTTGTGGCTCGTTTGGGATATCAAACCACAACCCTTATATGAGAGATGATATAATGACCAAAATGGATAAATACAGACGAGTATACTTTCACTGTCCTTTTTTTGTCTATATAGGGGTTATTCCATCCATGTTGTACCACTCAAACTAAAATAGGTAAAAAGAACAAGCTCAAGAATGGAAAACAGAGTTACTTTTGAGATCATCACTGTATGCAAGTTCTAATAGAAACAAAAGGAGGGCCAAATGAAACAAGATAAGAAGTTGCTATTGTCCACAACAAACACCAGTAGGGTATAGACAGCACTAAGCAAGTGACGAAGTCATAATACATATAGATCAAACAAACATTGAACGCAAATAACCTCATGTCCCAGTCCCCCATATACAAAAACTCCCTGAGACAACCTCCAAAAGAGAAAACATAGGATCATTAGTATGGCCATTCCAGAGACGCCATTAAAAAAATTTTTCTTGGCAGAGACGTTAACTTGCATCTTTGCACCAGAATTGTGTGGGCCAAGCATCAAGCTCAATCCCCGTGCGCCATGGTGACACACCGACATTTGCCACACCTGGAGGTTCTTCACTCAATAGAACAAAGACCAACCTCCCCAAATGACAGATCCCCCAAACCCTTAAATTAGAATTCCAGAAGATCTGCATACGCATCCAAGCTTGAGCCGACCAAATCAACAATTGCCCAGCTAGTATTGCCCTTGAAAGTCCGCGCCCAGACACGGACAATCGCAACACTAAGCTGTCGCACCTTGTAAGGATTCGCCATGAACTCCATATCAGGTGCACCAGGGGGATCAACAGCCATTTCGGTTTCATCCATCATGCTCTTGATCCACAATAGCAACTTCCGCTCATGCTCCGACAATCTTTGCTCAGACTGCGTTGTGGGAATGGCAAGCAGCCAACGACTGAGAAGGAAAGCGCATTCCAGACTGCAGAGCGAATGCTGAATGCTCCAAAAGAACGAATGTGTCCTTGCCACAAAGTCAATTCCCAGTCGTACTGGGATTGAAAGAGCATGGGCTGAGTGAAGCAGCGCCATGATCAGCCGCGGGCTACGTGCAATGGCAGGGGACTCGGTCAGAGCTGCTGCGATTTGGGCTGGGTCTTGTGTGATGAGATGACGGCAGGGACCCAAGTCAACATGCAAACGGATGTAGGCGAGCCCCAACAGTGCTGTGGAAGTGAATGCAATTGGACCGGCTGGATTCTGAGGATCGATGCTGGATTCGGGTGTGCGCTTCCATAAAGCCTTCCACGCACTCAATGAATTGTCCAGTACATTCAAATCGTCAGGTCTTAAGCTAGTGCCCTGCATATGAGGTGCGGAAAGACAGAGCTGTCGAGCAAAGAAAATCTGCTGGATGATGGCGTGGATGAGGATATAGTTTCCAAGGGGAGAGATGGGTGCCGACGGAATTGACATGGATGATTTCAAGAAGAGTCTGGCAAAAGCATCTTGAAAAGGCACGTCTGATCCATGCCTGGTGCGATGAACGCGGCGCCACTGTGGGGCATTGCTTGCTTTCCAGAGCTCGTGAGAACACGGCATGTTTAACTTTAACTCCCCATTCAAAATCAAAGGAGGGATGTTATACATGATCGAGTGGAGGTTGAAGAAACAATACACAATAAGCTTTGTGCGTCTGTTGCCTTCTCTCCGTACCCACTCCTCCCAGCTGATAGGATCTGGGGTGGGAGGTGGTTCAGACAGGCCATGTTCACGTACAAGCCTCGCCAAAGTACTCTGAAGCGAGAGAATCTCCCGCAGTAGCTCTGGGTGTCGTTCCCAGGACGCGAAGACAGTCAGCAGCAAAAATGTTCGAATCACCTCCATATGAGCATCTGAGTCATCAAGCGTGTATATTGATGCGCTGAGCGGTGCGTTTGGCATTTGTTGATGATGTTGGAAGGGGCTACTCGCCGTGTTAGAAATCATCGACGAACCACGAGAGTTAGGAAACCCAGATGGTGGAGATATATAGTTCCATGACGGCTGAGGCACCTGCTTGCTGTCTCGCCGACGAAGTCGCTCTAATAGAATTGCTTTGGCTGCATGGAAAAGGTCAATGCCCCGGCTGTTTTCAAACCGATAGTGTGAACCAGCAGCTGCCAGCGCTAGCGTAAGTTCAGGAGAAGTTTTAGCAACCGATAGCGTAGGGACATGTATAAACGGAAGATGTTCGTTCAATCCGTTGATATATCCGGCGAAGAACCGAGATAGGGCATGGCGCGATGGCGGAATAAATCCTTTCGGAAGAACATACGAAAACTCTTCCAGTTTCGAAATGAACGCTTGGCGATCTGCATTAGAGATGTCCCACGCGGGTCGCGTACTCTCATCGGCAAGACCGATACGATCGTCCATTTCGTGCGACTCCGGTTGCAGTGATGGCAGCCGGGATCCAAAATTCGAGAAGGATGGGTGGTCTTCCGCAGGGCCCCGCGGGTCATTCATGATATCACCGCCAAGTCGTGTTGATATCGTCTCACGGGGCGGTTTTGAATCGATCGTCATACCTGGCGGTAGCATGGGCTCCTCGACCGACGAGAACACGCCAGAGTCCCAGTCAGACGACAGACCCACACTTTCCAAAAAAACCGTGAAATCCTGGACAGGGTCCCCAAGATCAGTGAGATCGAGAATCGAAGGCTCTACACCATAATTATCGGCAATTGCTCTCTCCTGAACTTGGGGAAGTGGTTGTGATATAGGAGCAGCTGTGTGTGGTGGTTTTCTCATGGACTCTAGGCTCTCCTGTTGACCCTCCAAAGCAACATGGCTGGCGGCATGAGATAGAAGATTTAAATCATATCCCCATGAGGGATTAAAGTGAGGTGTATCTATAATCGATGGGGTCTGAATCTGGACTTCAGCTGGTGTTGGTGGCACTTGGGTGTGGACTGGGATGGCATCTGCAAGCTCTAGCATGCGCGACTCATGATGGGCGGGTTGGGTGAGGTTGGACTGGATTGGTATTTCATGGTTGTTTTCGTGACCATTCTGAACCCGATGTTCTCGACTGGCTGCACTTTCGGCAGGGTGGACTAATCGCTCATGTCGCACTAGAAGGTCACTGCAAAATTATATTGATAAGCGATTGGGATTCTATTCCGGGAATTAAGCGCCATAAGAGCCTACCTCCGAGCAAATGACTTGGAGCAAATGTCACATGAAAAAGGTTTCTCCTTTGTATCTGTTGTCCTACATTAGACGAATTCCAAGGAGCCGGGAGCAAGAGGGGGTTACTCAACGGGTGCGGAGATGGCGTTGGAGATGCTCTAAGCGAGCAAAAGATCGACTGCAATATTCACACGACAGAGACTTTCGGTGAGTAGCACCTTTCTTTTTAGATTTGGCTGACTTTTCGTCCTCCATCGTTTTTGGGGTTTTGGGGATGGAATGGGGGAGCGCACTAGAGAGGGGAAGAATTTGAGGCTGCGGGCTGTTTGAGCGGGGAAATTGGCCTAAAACCCCCACAGTGAGGGGACGGTCACGTGTTGTATAGAGCTACATGGCTCGACAAGTATGCAAGCACATGGGATTCTTATTTTTTCCATTCTACGTATGTAAAATGGTCTGATCCCCTTACTATATGGCCTGAGACGTGTTGGAGATGAGCCTAGTGCTTGATGCTGATGCCCAGGCCGGGTATGCATGCGCTCGGGTCTCCACTGGTGCGGAGAGTGTTATTCGGTTGCAAATTGTCCGGTGTAGATAGAATTGGTTGAGAAGTACATATAAAGCATTGATGGGATAGATGTTATGTCCATGGCAACCTTGGTATTGTGGAAGGCTCCAGGTAAGGGTTGTAGTGCTCCCGTTTAAATGCCCTATTGTTTTATTCATATATAGTAGAAAGAAACTACATGTACTTTATAAACCCCGTGTTTCCTTTTCTACTGGGTATAGAGTAGTAGATAAAAAAAAAAACAGAAGAAGTTGGTAGTTCTTGGTGTTTTATGGCAGCTACTATGAAGTAGAGAGGGTACCTAGGTAGATATATATACTCCGTATACATACTGTCCTTCTTTCTACTCCAGTGAGACAATATGGCTTTTAATTGGGCTCAATAGATCCCTACTAGCAACCAAATGCACACCAACTCCTCCGTGCAAAGTAAATTGATCGATATAAGACAAGCCTATAATTTAGTTGAGCAGTTTCACCCGATAGAGCCAGTGTTTCACTGGTGGGGGCTGGTATCACCTTTCCGTTTTGGTGGTTTATCGCCATAGTCGGGTTTAAATGGGATTGAAAAGTGAATTCGATATAGAACTGGTCTAACAAATAGCCATCCCTATCTGAAACCGTCCCTGAGTCGAGAAGAACCATAGTAGCCGAAAAGATGGTGGTGCCAGCCCTAGCTTTTCTCCAGTGTGGATACCACTGGATATAAGGATAGTATATGGCAAACTGCGGCTAGTTTGTGCGGCTGGTCCACTAAAGGATGCTACATAGGTATGTCCTAAACCAGAAGCTGATGAGACCCATATCAAAGAATAGCACACTAGCGTTGTGTCAGAGTAGAAAACTTGCAACTCTCCATCTTCAGACCATGAAAGACATAAAAGCCCTTGATCAACATTTATAAGCAGATTTCACTCTTTTTTTTAGTTTATTACTATCATTTTATTCATTCCAAAGGTTGTTCTGTATATTTTCTCAGATAGCGTCTCATTCTCAAACGGAAACCCTAAAAGCGTGCTAGCTAACTATATTGTACGGGAGTACTCTGTAGGTGGATACCCACATACAACATATGGAGACATCGGCAAAAACAACCTTGAGACACCGTCGATCTATATTATCAGGCAAGGGGGTGGCAAGCTATAATCTACAGCCCATAACCTTATCAAAGTTGTCTGAGTACAGACATTGTACTCTGCACGTAGCCTTGAAAGTAGAGAATGTGACAGTAGGATAGACCAACTCATATGGTTAAACCTTGGAATGCACCAATTAATATATAAGCAGAGCCCCAAATTTTTTTTTAAGTGCTACTTGCTTCAAGGCTACAAGCGTAAGTGAACTCATACGAGCTATTATAAGAAAGCCCCGCCTTTAAATAGCTCTGAGCCACAATAACTCACTATTTGAATATTTAGAACCAAAGTGGGGGTTTTAGATGAAACGAGTACAACATACTCCGTACACCGAAATGGTACTAGTTAGTACATGAGACAGCTCAGAGATAAAACGCGTGGAGGAAATATCGGGCTTAGCCCCCCCTGGATACGCCTAGGCCTCCAGGGCTGCATGTACCACCTTAGTCAGAGAACTCCCGATGTTCCAAGGTTCCAGATTTCGCATCTTGAACTTCAAACTTCTTCTTTTGAACCTTTGGCCTTGTTCCGATTTTTCATCTCTGTCAATCTCCTTCCCATTCCCAAGTGGGGAGCGGTGATCTCGATAGCCAGATCCAAACCACACTAAGTGGCCCCGATCTCACCCAAAAAAAAGCTCAGACGGTAAGTTGCATCGTTGAGGTCACCCATTTTGATTTTGCCCGCTCTGCTGGAATCACCCATTGTTTTATCCTGGTCGGTGTCTTCCAATATTCATTGTGGTCGTCTTTACTGCCTCGTTCCCTCTACCGACCCCTCACAACTCCCCCGCCGGGGCCGAGTGAGACCCAAACCCACCTGGGACATGCGGCTGACTGAATATTAGGGAACCGAGGTTATGTGTTGACTGCTGCCGCATCTTTCTTCGGATTCCCGGTTCAACTTGACACGAAGGACCCCCGAGAGTGTGGGAAGAACGCCGTGCCGATCAATCGCAAAGCGACCAGCACGTGTACCCGACGAGTCATTCGCTTGACCTGATTTAGCCATGTTGGCTCCTAAGCAATATTCCGCACCTACTGGTGTATCTGCATCCCAACAACCGAGCGCATACCATCCCAATTCGTCCCAAAGACCCGCGACGGCCACAAGAGCTCAGGATGGGATGGGGTTTGCCAGCCCAACAAAGTCGGAGCTCTCTGAGGGGCAGGATGAGCTTGCATCGATTCGGTAAGGCTTCTTAAAAAAAATTCCCCGAGATTCTGCAGTGATTCTGACCATCGACAGGGCCTGGGATGAGAGACGAGTGGTCGCCTGGCTTCACAGCATCAAATGTGGGGAATATGAGTCGATATTCAAAGGTACGCATGCGCACAGCCATCCTGACTTGCACCTAGGATATCATTAATGATTTATAGCCAATAATTTCAATGGAGATAATTTACTTGAGTGCGACCAAAAGATCCTGCAAGAGATGGGCATCAAGAAAGTTGGCGACCGAGTGCGCATCTTCATCGCTATCAAGCAACTTAGAAACAAATCCGGAACAACGTCACGACAGAAAAACATGGTGGGTTGTGTGACATATACCCGTATCTTCTACTTTATGCTAATTCTCGACACAGAATACCTTAGCTGCGCTTGAAGCCACAGCACTTTCAAATTCCTCCCGCCATACTCACTCCCGCCTACCATACCGACGCACATCTCAGCTGGCTGATGATGGTTATCTAAACAGCAAATCTCTGTCTCAGCCCACGTCGCCACCAGCCGGGGACTCCGAACGAGGTCCATGGCGCAAGGACTACCTTAATCATCCATCTTCAGGTGGCTCAAGTTCTGGTCGAAATCCCGGTACTCCGAATGAAGGTCGACCGAGCTCCCATCCTCGAAATCCTAGTCTCGATGGTCTCACGATGGGGCCTCTCCCGTCAAACTCCCCAGTCATCCGTGTTATCCACACCGGTGGACAAACCAAGGTGTTGGATATCCGGAACTGCAGAACAACGGATGAAGTTATTTTGTGTGTCTTGAAGAAACTGCAGCTTCCTGAACACCAATACAGAAATTATTGTTTTTATGTTTTGGATGGATTGGACCCAGAACAAGCAAATTGCCGGAAGCTCACCGAGTCGGAGCTCATGGACATCTGCGATGGCTTCAACAAGTCTGAGCGAGGTCGGTTGATTCTTCGGAAGATTCATGCTGGGGAGCCCGATGAAGACGAGCTTCGTCGTGCATCTCAGCTTGCATATGATGAAAGCCAGGCCACCCACCAGCACGCTCTGAGTAATTCCAACCAACGCCAGAAACACAAGATCCAGCAACTTACCGGCGAATCTTGGCATAATATTAAACAGCCGCTTTCTCCGCTAGGCCCTAGACATCGCCCATCCAACTCTAGTGTTGACGAATCGCAAGGACCGAACAACGAACGAAATCCGGTGGCTAAGCTCCGTTCGTTCTTCGGACAGAGACCTCCAAGTGAGATGATTATTCACGAACTACAATCATTCTTCCCCAGCCATGATCGAGAAAATATCGAGAAGACCATGCGCAGATCTCAACGTTTGAGTCGTGCCGCAAGTCGTATGAGTGTCGTGAGCAACTACAGCGTTGCGTCAAGTATGAAGGATGCCCCTCCCCTGCCGCCATTGCCTCAATTACCTCCAATTCCCAGCATTGCCGATGCATGGCTCCATGGCCCTGGAGTGGCACAGGCAGTACGAGCCCCACGACCTATCTCAGTTTCCAAGTTCAACCTACCTCAAGCCTCGTATCGGGATTCTATTGCGTCTAGTTCCCTTCAGCCACTTCAGGAAGAGTCACCCACTGAACCTAACCGAAAGTCATATGTCTCCTTTGAGAGTGGCTCGGACGAACCAAACCCATTGCGCGAGTCACGACAGAGCTTTGAGAGTCTCAGTGTTGCGGCCACAGATGGCGGTTCCTTTAACGATCGGATGAGCATGATTGTAGCCGAGGATGGCGAAGAAGAGGATGATGGCCTTGTAGACTTCCTGGCTGGAAATAACTTTGCACCAAAGAACTGGATGAAGGGATCATTAATCGGAGAGGGTTCTTTCGGAAGCGTTTACCTGGCCCTTCATGCTATTACTGGAGAGCTTATGGCTGTCAAGCAGGTTGAAATCCCATCTGCTACCAAGGGAACAGAGTTCGACCAGCGGAAGAACCTCATGGTCAATGCTCTTAAGCACGAGATCGAACTGCTGCAAGGCATGTCCCACCCGAACATTGTGCAATATCTTGGCACCGTCGCCGACGACCAATATCTTAACATTTTCCTGGAGTACGTGCCTGGTGGATCTATTGCTACAATGCTGAAGCAATACAACACCTTCCAAGAACCACTTGTCAAGAACTTCGTTCGACAAATTTTGGCCGGTCTATCATACCTTCACGGCCGGGATATCATCCACCGTGATATCAAGGGTGCCAACATTCTAGTTGACAACAAGGGTGGTGTTAAGATCTCCGATTTTGGTATCTCTAAGCGTGTCGAAGCATCTCACCTCCTCGGCGCCCGCGCCAGTGGCGGTGGCGCTGGCGCTCATATCCACCGCACCTCCCTCCAAGGAAGTGTGTACTGGATGGCACCCGAAGTCGTGCGACAGACCGCACACACCAAGAAGGCTGATATTTGGAGTTTGGGCTGTCTCGTCGTCGAGATGTTTATTGGTGCCCACCCCTTCCCGGACTGCAGCCAGTTGCAAGCCATTTTCGCTATTGGCAGCAACAAGGCTCGCCCCCTGCGCCAGACCATGTGAGCCAGGAGGCTGTGGATTTCCTCGACATGACTTTCCACTTGGAGTACGAGCAACGGCCTAGTGCTGATGAACTGCTCCAGTGCGAGTTCCTGGCTGCACCTATCGTATAATCAGCGGTAATTATATTTTGCTTGCCCTTTCTTCTTTCCTGTGTCGCCTCGATACATGTATGTATGATTTTACGTATGATGGTGAAATTCCCGTCTATTGAACAATTATTTTGGGCATAGGCTCTTTTTTTTAGTAGTATACTACAACTGAGCAAAAAGGTTCCTGTTGTCGCTTTCTAAGCATCCTGTGTACTGTTGTCCGCTGTAAATGTAGATTGAATTTAAGCCAAAGATAGTACACGATTCCGAATAATCACAACGACCATTATGCAGGTCTTCTCTAAAGTTACATGCTGGATATCATAAGACTATCCAAAAGGAGATATAATAAAAAGACCAAGAGTAATCACCAGGTAAACCCGATTTAGTTCACAATCTTGCCGTAGAAAGGAATACCCATGGCACTCAGGAGGAGTCGTGCATCCTTATCAGTTCTGGCGGTAGTGTGGAGAGTGATGTGGCAACCGGGGATCATCTTGGGAGGATACCTATTGAAGTAAGGTTAGCCTTTTGACACAACTGTATAAACGCAGAGCACACTTACATATCGTAGTTGACCTCAAGCTCCGGGAACAGAGCAACATTTTCCGGAATCAGACCGAAAGTAATGTTACCACTGCTATCACCACTGGAACCCTTGACACCCTCCCAATCCTTGATACGGGGCAAGACGACATCAACCAACTTGCCAAGGAAGTGGTACATATTCTCGCCGTACAGCTCAGCCTTAACAGCGACAGAGTCGCGGCCGGACGCAATACCCCAAGGAGCAACGTTAGACTTGGACTTGAAAGTCTCAACGCGAACATTGGAGATAGCCTGAACGGCAATACCAGCAACGTGCAACCAAGAAGAGTTCCTCTCAGCCGCGGCATTCTTGACATAACTATGGATTGTGATGCGCTCGATTTCCGGGATGTTGTTGAACTTGATCGGCTTGCGGAGAAGACGCAGGACGTCGCCGCCACGGGGTCCGCGGAGGACACGGTTCTTGTGGTATGGCGAGCTGTCGTCCCACTCGCGGAGACGGGCAGACTTCGGGGGAGGCTTGAAGCCTGGAGGTGTGTGCACGTAGCACAGGGTCATGATGTCAGGGGAGACGGTTGAGTCGAAGGTTTGCTCTGCTCGGGGCGCGGAGAAGGGGCCTGGGACGAACAGCCGGGAGGAGGGGTGGGATGGTGGCGGCGGTTGGTGAGGGTGGAGGGGACCACGGTTGTATTTTGGGGAGCGGAATTGGTATCTGTAATGAAGGGGTTGGGGTTAGGTATTGTTCATTGGATGCGTTTCCATGTTGTTTTTATGTCTGCGGATGCGCATGACTGGACATGTAGTCGGAGTGCTCTTACCGGCCTCGGGGAAGCTGGTTCTTGCGAGCGGCTGCCCGTGCAAGCGGGTCAAACGATGCTGCTGCGCTGTCTGGGACAGCCGTTGACAGAGACGACGCCGATTCCAGCTCGGTCAGGTGGTCCGACAGACGCCTCACCGGGGCTTCATCGGAGACATTGCGGCGTGATAAAAAGCCTTGAGGGCGAATTGATGGCACTGAGGCCCGGGGAAATGCCCTTGTTAGGTACCTGGATGGCTCTCTGGCAGCCATTCTGTGAAAAATGGGGTGTGATGGGTTGGTGATCATCCCGGACCCTTCCCAAAAATTGTTCGCGCAGATACTCTAGTCACGTGGGTAGATACTAACGCCTTAGAAAACAGGCATGATATCCATGGATAACTACTTGGCCAATTATTGCTCGGCCTATGTGTTTTTCTTCTTGATTCATAGCCCATCGACCCACTCCATAGTGGTATACTATCTAATTTATCTTTAAAACAGAGGCTATCTATATCTGCGAAGGCTCGACTGATTTCCGATGACCAAACACCGAGCTTGGTCTTGAGGTCATATACAACACTTGCCATTACAAAAAAAGACAATTTTTTGTAGGATATATTCCTGGGGTATAGGTGTGTGAAGTTACTCGACCCAAAACCTTTGCTTAATCCTCAAACTTGGTCTTTAGGTGGTTAGCAAGCACTCTTTGCTCAACTAGAATACATCACTTAGGAGAACCCTCGCTGGGCCGTTATTCAAAGGAGGAGGCTTGGCGGTATGGACGATAATGCATTATTTATCTATGCAAGTATAGATATGGATGGTCTAATTAATTATAAAGCGAGGGACTGTATTATAAGTAGATGTTACCGGGAGCTTATACGGTCTATAAGATCATAGCCCTATACCTTTGAACGTCGATATCCTGTCTTCGGGGATAAAAAAAGCTATAGACTCTGTTTTCGAAGCCAAAATATTTTTTATAGAGATAAATATGTACGATCTAGCCACTTAAATAGTTGTAGTGGTCCGATTCTAGAAAAGTCTAGAGGATACAAATGAGGATTAGTCTGGATCTGATGTCGACTCCAGGGTTGGACAAGGGTTTTACCAATCAAGATCATCCGCCTGGGGGTTGGTTTGTGGAGTGAAGTGATATCTAACCATGCCCTGTGAGTTACAGTGAACATTTACTCTACTACCTACTATGTAACTATAGTTATATTCATGTGCTTGTCACCGCCCTCAATCTTCCAAGGCTCACCGCCAAGATTAGGGCAAGATGACCTGAGAAGGTCAAGCTCCTGCCTTAGGTGTCTGCTCCCGCTCTGCCCCGCAGATCAGCGGGAGGTTCAACTTCATATCACCTGTCTCAGGTGGTTTCTTTTCGACGCGTGTTCATATCAGAAGAGTTCTGCTTATGATGTATCCTACATGCACTTCTCAGAAATCCTGCAGCCTTAACTAAGCTCCGAGCTAGTTTACAGGTCTCCTGACCCCCCGCACGTCTCCAATGATTGGGATTTTCCGTTTTAATCTAGAAGGCCTGCTCTTGAGAGTGTTTTCTTATTCCCCCATCCGCAATAATGAGTGGAATCCATCGGTTTCTGACGCGTCGCGATCGGCACAATAAGTTGAACAAGCAAAGCAAAGAAGAGGTATGCGTGTACAGAACACCTGGATGATACTCCAAACAAGATCTTACACTAGCTAACGGTTTTCCACTTCTTAGGCATCTAATATACTTTCGCGTCCTCTATTCCATGGAATCTTCAAGTCAGAGACGACTCTGGCTGATAGTGACGAGCATGAGAAGAAGGTATGGTCTAGGCGCATTACGGTCAGCTTGCACCTCTCTAATATTCCAAATTCACACATAGGTCAAAGCCATTGCTCAGCGGATTAAACAACTTGGAATCACCGCGTTAGATGAAGAGCACATGAAATATGCATTGCGAACCGCACAAGGCGACACAGAGAAGGCATTTAGCCTGCTACTTCTGCTAGAGGACTCGATCGAAGGAATCATCAGGAATTACACACCCAATACCAAGCTCCTAGGCGCAGAGAATCGCCAGGGAGTCACATGCTATTTGGACGCGCTGTTGTTCGCCATGTTTGCGCGCCTCGATTGCTTTGAGGCCATTCTTTACAAATCATTTAATGATGAGCCTCGTCGAAAGCTTGCAATCCTTCTGAGACTATGGGTAAATCTGCTGCGATCGGGAAAACTCATCACCACAGACATGGTTAGTTATAACACTTATGGTTGTCGTCATCTTTCGTATTGTTATTGACCGGTTGGCTTCAGACGAAACACCTGCAGGATGCCCTGGCAGAATGTGGTTGGGAAGATGCGGCCAAACTTCAGCAACAGGATGCCTCCGAAGCATTCACCTTCATCACTGAAAAGTTGGAGCTGCCACTGTTGACTTTGAAGATGGACATCTATCATACTGGAAAAGAGGATGAAAGTGATGACCATAAATTTATCAACGAGAGGCTTCTCGAGGTTGCGATACCACCTGAGCCAACTGATGGACACTCACTCACACTGGAAGATTGCCTGGAAGCTTACTTCAATAACATGATTGAAGTTAAACGACACATGCAACGACGCAACACCACTAGCTCAATCAGATCAATGGATTCACTCTCTATGTCCAAGGGGTCCACATCACATGTCGAAGCAGTGGAGATCGAGACCACACCCACCATGTCCCGCGCTCAAACAAATTCACCCCGGGCTGAAAAAAAAACCCCCTGGTCATCGTTCACCGAGTTCACTGAAGCCCTTGAGGCATCTCGGACACCTGGCCGACGTGGTAGTATTGTTCGACAGCGGTTCTTTCCCGACTCGGGTGGCGATACAAACACCAGAGATACCAATCCAGAGAAGGATCCCGGTGCAGATCAGGATACCAGTGGAAATACCCAACAACGAAAGGGTTCATACAAGAAAGAAGTCATGATGCCTGCGTGGCAATTTTTCAGCTTAATACGTATGCCCTCTCCTCTCATCCTGTTCTTTGAGTTTCGTGTGAACTGACCTAATCTTGCTTAGCGTGGTATACCGATAATACGCCAACAAACGATGCGCAAGTTGCAGCCCATTTTTCCTCAAAACGGCCGATTCTTGGGATGTGTTTGAAACGTTATTCCTTTTTGCCAGACGGAAGGGCAGTCAGACTCAATACACACATTGATATACCAACCGAGATCGGCCTGCCTCACTTCATCCAAGATGATAACTTGGATGCGGATGCTCCTCTCTTTGGAAGTTTTAAACTCTCCTTGCAAGCTCTTGTTTGTCATCGGGGTAACTCAGTTGACTCGGGGCATTACATTTCCATTGTTCGAGGTACCAATTGCCCCAACACCGGCACTCCTGTCACTACCGGCCCAGAAGTCCCGGAGACAACAAAACACTGGATGCGATTCGACGATCTCGCAGCAGAACGAGTGACACTGGTCGACATTGACCACGCATTGAAAACCGAATCTCCTTATCTTCTGTTCTATCAAATTCTTCCTATCGGTGAAGATCCATCTGCGCCCAACATTCCGAATGCACCATCATCTCGAGCGTCAGACGGCAGTACACTAGCCGACCAAGCAGATTTTAGTGTTGAAGACCTTTCCGCTGACCGACCCAGTGTTGAGGTCACGGGGCCATGTGAGAGTAATGCGCAAACTTTAGCTAGTATCGCAAGGCGATCCAGCATTGCATTCTCAGAAACCAGCAACCCGGTCGGTCTTCACCCGCGCTCTATTCCATCTTCGTCACCTAGGCTGGCACCGATGGAAGAAGGAAGCACAAAAGGGACATCGTTCTCGCGCCGTGGGTCTCGCTCGGCCAAGAGCAATCCCGGAAGCCGTGCCGGTAGCCAAACGGGTGAAAATAGAATCAGTGCCACTTTTTCACGCTTTGCTGAACGGCTTAGCCGGGATAGAATTAGCAATGATGGATTTGCCGAGGAGAATGAAGGGAATGAGTCTGCATTGGAAATTGATGACACTGTGGACGATATGAAACTTGGGCCGGCCGCCTTTGAGAACAAGGAGAAGCGTGGAAGAGGCCGAACGAAGGATCGTGAGAGGAATAAAGGGAAGGCAAAGGAGAAATCCAAGGAGAAGACCAGGAAATTGGATCGGGAATGTGTAGTGATGTGAGCCAGGCTGGTGATGCCAGGATTTCTTTTTCGCTTTGAGATACCCAGTCCAGCTGTTGCATGTTTCACAAACGATGATACCCCATGCATGAGCGGAGTAACTTGTTTGTAATTTAGCTTGGAATCAACAGGTGCCTATAAACAATTATGTTTCTTTTGTTATGTTATAGATCTAGATGAGTTACTTGTATGAATGTATGTAGTTCTCATTTTGGTGATCCACGGTCGTGGCCTCAGGTGTCAAGACACTAGGGCCTCCGCATTCCTTGGGACCCCAAGAGCCCATCCGTCCTCCATCAACTCGCAAGACCTTCGACTTGCCTCAACTCTTGTATGAGCGGCATGACATAGCGCCCCTACAGCTAGCGCACCATGGCGCTGGACGGATCCAGCAGTTATGTTGCTCCGAGCAACTTAATGGACTCACCGAGCTCTTCTCTACCTATGTTCGACGTTGAACGAGTGCAATTGGCCTTCTCCGTCGCTGCAGACTTCGTTGCAGCGCAAGTCGCAAACAATGTGCTTGTGCTAGCCTTATCAACCAATCGCATTCTCCGAATCGATCTTGATTCCCCTGAAGATGTCGAAGGTAGGCTTCCGAACCTTCCCCGCAGCAAATGTCAGCCACAACAAGTCGACCTAACCGTGCTCACGAACAACAGATATCGATCTCCCCAAGAAATCTTCAGAAGTCGGAGTGATTCGGCGCATGTTCCTCGACCCGTCGGCATCTCATTTGATTATCACCACGACCCTCGGCGAAAACTACTATCTCCATTCCCAGTCACCATCGCGACAACCGAAACCCTTGTCACGATTAAAAGGCGTGTCAATTGAAAGCGTTGCTTGGAATCCCTCCTTACCCACCGCCTCTACTCGCGAGATCCTCATTGGTGCCACTGATGGCAATGTCTACGAGACGTATATTGAACCCTCCAGCTACCGGCAGGAGAAGTATACCACCCCGGTCTACCAGGTGCCGGGCGCTTCTCCAGTGGTTGGGATTTCGGCGGAACCAGTGCCTTCTAAGCCCGATCAAAGAAGGGTACTTGTGGCAACCTATGGGAAGCTACTGCATTTTATTGGCCGGGCAGGGGCCTCGAAGCATGGGAGAGAAAGCGGCGTGTATTCGGAGCTTTTCCAGCGCGAGATGCCAGTGATCCACGAGAGTCCGAACTCGTCTAGCTCTGCGCCATCCTCGCTGGTAATTTCGCCCACAATTTCAGAGAGCTACCAGGCCGAGGGGTATACCGAAAAGCAGTTTGCGTGGCTCAGTTCCGAGGGGATATACCATGGTCAACTTGCGTCGGAGTCTCCATTCAAGACCGCAAATATGCTTGCGCGCTCGGTATTCCCGGCTTCGGAATCACCACGAGGAGGGCGGAAGTTGATACAAGACCCCATTTCTGCCATGACTCTGTCACAGTGGCATGTCCTAGCACTTGTTGGGGGCAGGGTGGTCGCAGTCAACCGTCTCAGCCAGGAAGTTGTCCACGATCAACCCGTTTTGGAACCTGGGCAAAGCGCGCTAGGCCTCCTGACTGACCTCACCAAAAACACATACTGGCTCTTCACCAGCCAGGCCATCTTTGAAGTTGTAGCAGGCGATGAGGACAGAGATGTTTGGAAAATATTCTTGAAAGAGCAGAAATTCGATGAGGCGCTTCAGTATGCCCGAGGTGCTGCCCAGCGAGACGCTGTTATGACTGCTTCAGGTGATTTCCTGGCAGGCAAGGGAAACTTCCTCGAGGCAGCCAAAGTATGGGGCAAGAGCAGCAAAGGGTTTGAGGAGGTCTGCCTTACCATGATTGATCATAAAGAGCATGATGCTTTGCGGAACTACCTCCTTTCCCAGCTGGCAACATACAAGAAGGCTTCGCTTATGCAAAGAATAATGGTCGCAAGCTGGCTTGTGGAACTGTTCATGTCAAAGTTGAATTCCCTCGATGACAATATCGCCACCAAAGCCGAATTGGCAGAGGGCACAAGCCCTGGAGAAATCAAGGATCAGCTTGGCAGCATTCGAGCTGATTTCCAAGAGTTTGTGAACAGCTACAAAGCAGACTTGGACAAGAAGACAGTATACGATATCATCAGCAGCCATGGGCGGGAGGAAGAATTGTTGTTTTTTGCAACCGCTACGAACGATTACAACTATGTTCTATCCTACTGGATTCAGCGCGAGAAATGGCTGGAAGCCTTGAAGGTTCTGCAGCGACAAAGCGAAGCCGATGTGTTCTACAAATATAGCAGTGTGCTGATGACACATAAGCCGACAGATCTGGTTGATATCCTGATGCGACAGACGAACCTTGATCCTGAGAGACTGATCCCCGCGTTGTTGAACTACAACAAATCTGCCAGCGTCTCCTCCCTCAACCAGAACCAAGCCGTCCGGTATCTCAACTTCATCATTGTCAACCACCCAAATCCATCCGCAGCAGTCCACAACACCCTTATCTCAATACATGCCTCCAGCCCTTCACCGTCTGAGGCTGGACTGCTTACTTATCTCCAATCGCAACCATCATCCCCTCCTCCATACGATGCAGACTTTGCACTTCGCCTGTGCATTCAAAACCAACGAATCCAGTCTTGCATTCACATATACAGCACAATGGGACAGTATCTACAGGCTGTGGAGCTAGCCCTGGAGCATAAAGACATAGAACTCGCCGCGATCGTCGCAGACCGCCCGGAGGGCAACGACAAGCTCCGCAAGAAGCTATGGCTCCTCGTCGCTGAGAAGAAGATTCGCCAACCAGGCACGGGCATCAAAGACGCAATTGAATTCCTACGCCGTTGCGAGCTGCTCCGCATCGAGGACTTGATCCCATTCTTCCCGGATTTCGTCGTCATCGACGACTTCAAAGATGAGATTTGTACTGCTTTGGAGGACTACTCGCGCCACATCGACTCGCTCCGCCAGGAAATGGACAACTCAGCCCTGACAGCCCGCCAAATCCGCGGTGAAATTTCCGGTCTGGATACCCGCTACGCCATTGTTGAGCCGGGTGAGAGGTGCTGGATCTGCTCGCTACCCGTCCTCAGCCGTCAGTTCTTTGTCTTCCCCTGCCAGCATGCCTTCCACAGTGACTGTCTGGGTAGGGAGGTCTTGGATGGCGCTGGTGGCAAGAAGAAATATATTCGGGATCTGCAAGCGCAGCTCAGCAGTGGCGATGTCTCTGCCTCGCGACGTGAGGAGATTGTTAAGGAATTAGATGGGCTAGTCGCTGAAGCTTGGTACGTGTCTTTCCTATTAACTCATCAATGGTACATATCACTAACCACATTTCTTTGCAGTATCCTCTGCGGTGACCATGCCATCAAACAAATTGACAAACCCTTCATCGCAAGCTCGGAGTCGGCCGAGGATTGGGCTCTCTGACATGCTCTCCCATACTCATTATAGCATGGGATGCCGTCTAATAACTTTCCCGTGTGGTCCTACTGGACACTTTTTTTTTATTTCGCTTTTGATTTTTCGCAATACCCTTCCTTGTCTTAAGCAGGTGCTACATGATACATGAGGCACAGTCCTCGTATATAGACATAGCTATACTGAATGTGATTCGGATCCAAACATTATCTTGTACTTGAAAGAGAATGATATATGTTAAATATAGCAAATACACTGTGAATAATCTACCCAACTCCATGCGCAAATAAACAAATTCCCAGAATGGTAGTTCCAAAGGAGATAGAGATGAACAACAGAAGGCTATGTATCTCACATAATATACCTACCCCAAAAGCGCAGGGTACCTAGTTCTCAGGCCATAGATACCGCAGCAGTTCCAAATCTTGCGACACGGCCGGACTGTGCGGTGCACAGTCCTCCAAAAATCCTAACATCTCCTCGTTCCAGCGTTCCCAGCCATCCGGCAATGTCTCGCGGACACGCGAACTTGGCGAATGGGCTATGCAATAGAAGAGCAGGATTTGGCCAAAGAATCTTGTGGAGAAAAGTTAGTAAGACTCGTCCAAACACATAGACATAGTTGTATGCAAAGGGAAACGTAGAAGGGATAACTCACTGCGAGCAAAAAGCAAACTTGATCGGAATACAGCTCTTCATTTTCCGGAAGATACCCTGAGTAATCGGCCAGTCCATTGCATTCTGGAGACCGCTTCGCACTTGCACGAAGTCTTCATCTGTTAGAAGATGCGGGATTCGGAGAGCTTTGTATAGATACGGCCGACCGATGTGGAAGCGCGCGATCATGTGTCGGCCTTTGAGCATGGCGTCTGTTACTGCTATTGCTGGGGAGAGGGGGTGGTTCGGATCTGTCTGTCTTGGTCTTGGGGAAGAGAGGTGCACTGGGGATGCTATTGAGGCGGATGGGGAGGGGTGGATGGAGGGGGTTGCTGGGGTTGGGTGGGATGAGTAGGGGGCGTTGTTGAATTGGATTGTCGTTGGGAGATTGGTGCGCCATTGTTCTAGTTGGTGGTGCAGCTCGGTATTTATTGCCGGGAGGGGGAATGTTCCTGAGTCCGCTAGACGGAGGATGGTGTGTTAGAGGATGGATTTTGGCTTTTATGTTAACTGTCTAGGTGAAATGGCAGGATAACTCACAGTAGAAGTAGAGGGAATGGCGGATCCGCGTGAGGATGATGCGGTGGGCTACCTGGGCCAGGAAATGATATTGGAAGTATGAGTCGTCAACTACGCCTGATGAGTTGAAACGGCCTGAGGCGTAGCCGGTTGTTTCGAAGCCGATGAATTTGGGAATTGGGACTTGTTCTTCGAGACGAGAGAGGCCGCTTGATGGGAGGTGCAGCTCTTGTACGAGAATGGTCTCGTTCATTAAACAGTTCCAGTATACACGGGATTTCATATCGCCTTCCCACTCGTCGAAATTCACATTATGGCTGCATACGAGTCAGTATGATTCAGGTGTTTGAGATGTATAAGGCAGGACTCACTTCGTCAACATTGATAGACAGCAAGTCGCAGCGCGAGAAATCATTGTCCAGGAGTCCATCGGACGGGGAATCTGG